TTAAATGAAATAAAAGTTAAAGAAAAGGATTAGATTGCAAGCAAGAAGAAGGTCGTCGTCTTCATTCGTCGTCGTTCGTGTCGGGAACGTTACTTACCGCTGACTTCACCATATCCTCCTCCTCCGCCTCCCTTTCCTCCATTTTTTTCTCTCTCTAAATCCTCCCTAGAGAGAGAGAGAAATCCCTCCATTTTCATCTCCCTTCACCGATCGGTGATATCCCAATTATGCCGCGATTCACAGCCCTATTGATCTGGTCGGTTTTTGTACTATTTCACTATCCTCCGTCGCTATCGTTAAGGTATGTTTCTGCTCTTAAAAATGATTCGACCACTGTTATTATCCGGCCTCCACGCGCCGGTAGCAATCGCCACACCATGTTTCTACCTCTTTTCCCCTCTCCTCCTAACTCCTCCCGGATCTCCGGCGATGTGGCATCTCGACGTCACCTCCAGAAATCCGATGCTCCTCGACCAAACGCTCGCATGGCTCTCCATGACGATCTCCTCCTCAACGGGTAATTTTAGGCGTTTTCTAGATCTATTTCACTGAAAAACAAACTTTCAATCACTTCAATTTTGAAAATTCAAACTGATTTCATGTCTTATTTCCATTTTCAAAATTGAAAACTGTAGTGAGTTCCTATTTGTTCTAAATTTAGAGTTAGTGTTCTGAGGTTTACGATCTGTGTGGAATTGTATTGATGGTTTACAGGTATTACACTACGAGACTCTGGATTGGATCGCCGCCACAGAGATTCGCACTGATTGTCGACACAGGGAGTACTGTTACTTACGTCCCATGCGCTACCTGTGAACAATGTGGCAAGCATCAGGTACTTTCTTCCCGTGATTCCATTCCAATTCATTCGCTTTATGTGATCTTATCTACGCATTTTCTTATGTTCAGAATATAATTAGGGTTCCAAATAGGAACACCAATTTAACTTGTTGTTTATTGATTCACATTTACCAGGATCCAAAGTTTGATCCAGAATCATCCACCTCCTACAAACCTGTGGAATGCAACATCGATTGCACCTGTGATAACAACAAAGAACAATGCATCTATGAAAGACAATATGCAGAAATGAGTTCCAGCAGTGGTGTTCTTGGTGAAGACATCATATCATTTGGCAACCAAAGTGATCTTCAACCTCAGAGAGCAGTTTTCGGGTGTGAAAACAGAGAAACGGGTGATCTCTACAGTCAACATGCTGATGGAATAATGGGATTAGGTCGTGGTGATTTAAGCATAGTTGATCAACTTGTTGATGGAGGTGTAATAAGTGATTCCTTTTCTTTATGCTATGGTGGAATGGATGTTGGTGGTGGTGCCATGGTTCTTGGTGGAATCTCTCCCCCTGAAGACATGGTGTATACCCATTCAGACCCTGTTCGCAGGTATGTTTTGTATCTATCTAACTTATAGATACAAAACTTCAATCTCTAACATAAATACATTTGATACATCTCACACATTTACTCTAGTCTCGGGATGGCAACAGCCCATATTACAATATTGAGTTGAAGGAGTTACATGTTGCTGGGAAACGGTTGCCATTAAACCCGAGTGTTTTTGATGGAAAGCATGGAACAGTTCTTGATAGTGGGACCACATATGCTTATCTTCCTGAAGCAGCTTTTGAAGCTTTTAAACATGCTGTAAGTTTAATTCTTAAAGGGTTGTTTCTTTTTAACCCGAAAAACCTTTCTTTATGTATCAAGATACAAACCCTTTACCTGTTTGCCCTTGTAAGGGTAAAATGGTCATTTAGATGCAACATTTTATCAAATGGGTAGTATTTAATTATTGATTATCTCTATATTATGTGTAGATCTTGAAAGAACTTGAAGGTGTTCATATGATCAAAGGACCTGATCCAAGTTATAATGACATTTGCTTCTCGGGTGCTGGAAGGTAATGTTTATTATCTATTTATTATTAATCATTGTATAAAAGTAAATAATAATAATAATAATAATATGAAAATGATAATCTTTTTTATTTTCAGTGATGTTTCACAGCTCTCGAAAACTTTCCCATCTGTTGATATGGTGTTTGGGAAGGGACAAAAGCTGTCATTATCCCCTGAAAACTACTTGTTCAGGGTAAGCATTTATTAATTATTATCAGTATCACCTCTTAAAGCTCTACTTTTTCTTTTTTTTCTTTTTTTGAAATTATTGTCTTTTTATATGTGAAGCACTCAAGGGTTACTGGAGCATATTGCTTAGGGATTTTTCAGAATGGAAAGGATCCCACCACTCTTTTAGGAGGTATTTATTTCACACTTTTACTTATTTCCTTTTTCTTTTTAATGTATTGATATATATTTATTGCAATTTTCAGGCATTATAGTGAGGAATACGTTTGTTATGTATGATCGTGAACATGAAAAGATTGGATTTTGGAAAACCAACTGTTCTGATATATGGGAAAAACTTCATATTGCCGAAAATGCCCCTCCTCAGGCATCTCCTCCATCAGATGGAATAAGTCCCACTGCTGAAATTCCTTCTTTGCCCCCAACATCGCTTCCACAGTATATTCCTCAAGGTAAAACATCAGCTGCTATTTAAAGCTGTGTTATTTTTATGATTCACATGGTTTTTATAATTTTTTTTTCTTTTTTTTTTTGCAGGAGAAACAGAAATTGGAAGTATTACATTTTCTATGTCTGTGAGTCTTAATCAAACTAAAGTGAAGTCACAAATCTCAGAGCTTTCTTGGCTAATTTCTCAGGAGTTACATGTTAACAGTTCACAGGTAGTATTAACTTTAATGACATTTTTCTAAAAAAAAATCACATTTATAGATTTTTATTGTAGTATATTATGTTTTTAATGAGCTTCTATTCTGTTGACTTGTTTTATATAAATGAAATATTCATTGATTAGAATTAAATAATATTATATAACATAAAAAGTTCATGAGTATATGTCAACCAAAGATGATCATGGAATGTAATGACTGATTCCATTCCATTATCTATTCAATTCCATTCCATCCAACCAAACAGATCTTCATATTCTTGAGTTTTCTCCTCCTTAACTTTTTATAAAAACATTTTTTCAGGTTCATATATTGGATTTTACATCAAATGGAAGTAATAATTATGTTACAAAATGGTCCATTACTCCACCAAAACCTGCTAACTCTATGTCTAAAGCAACTGCACTTGTGAGTTTCTCATAATTCTTTTTTTTTTTTTTAAATAAATATTTCCACAACTTATTATTTTATTATTTATGTTCCAGAGTATTATTTCCCGCATAAGTGAAGGTGGTGTTCGCCTTCCTGATTCCTATGGGAATTATCAATTATCTGATTGGAATATTCAACCTCCAACAAAAAGGTAAAAATTACTTTTTTGTCCTCATGCAACATTTTTTTTTTTTTTTTGCTTTATGGACCAAATATGACACCTCATGATGGAAAAGAACTACAAAGGAATGGAATGGATGATTACAAAGTAAACAAAAAATTGTTATTTTGTAAAATTAAAGTTTAATGAAAGAAAATATATTGTTAAACAAATTGCATGTAAACGTATTTCATGTCATTTGAAATATAATGTTATATGTATTTTAAATAGCCAAAAAAGTTTATTTATCACTTTAAAAACTTATATACAAAATTAAACAATAAAACAAAAGAAGTCATTGTAAAATCTCAAAAGAAAATTATAATCTCAAAATTACATTTTAATTAAGGTTAATCTCATAAAAGACCTTATATTTTGTGTTTTTTCCGGATTAAACCTCAACTTTATTTTCTTTTTTCCTGGAAAAAAGACATTGTATTTTTTCATTTTTTCCGAAAAAACCCTCAACCTTGTCTTTTTTTTTTTTTCCGAAAAAACCCTTCAACCTTCTAATTGCTTCCAAATAAACCCTCAACTATTTTAGTTTTTCTCGAAAAAATACTCACATTTTACAATTTCTTTTGGCAAAAATGACTAAAAGGGCTAGATCGGAAAAAATGAAAAAAATACAGGAAAAAATAAATTTGAGGTTTAATCCGGAAAAAAACACAATACAAGGTCTTTTATGAGATTAACCATTTTAATCATTTTTTAGAAAATAACAAAAAACAATTAACTAAAGTTTCAATTTTTTTTTTCTTCTAAAATATTATTATTATCGAAAAATATACAAATAAAAACAATTTATAATAGTATAATATATCATTCCATTCCCTTCAAATAACATTAAAAAAAAACACCTTTCCCCATGGAAGTAGAAAAAACAATCACATTGTCAGGAATACAACATATACCAGTAACCCCTAAGCTTAACCTACACTGTAAGGATAATTTTTCAACCAACCCCTAAAGCGGGCCCACACAACCCTGAGCTTGAGTGGCCCACACTGTAAATGTTATTTATCAGCAACAGCAACCTATGAGCTGACCCACACTACACTGTATGTGCAGAAGCTGGTGGGAGAAGAATTACTTGGTAGCGGTGTTGGTATCAATTCTAGCCCTAGCCATTGGATTATCAACTTTCGGGACATGGTGGCTTTTCAGATTTAGGCAACAATCTGGTTTACAATATAAACCGGTTGACTCGGTTGTACCCGAGCAAGAACTTCAGCCACTTTGATCATTATCATCATCTACTACTACAAATGCAATCTCACAATTACACTCTCAAGATTATCTAATTTTTTTTTTTTTTTTTTTTTTTGTTTATAAAGGGAAAATGTTAAGGTAGTGGTACTATATATTATATATATTTAAATATGTATGTGTAAAACATTTTGGGTACTAATGTCAAAATTCACAGGGTTTTATCTTGACTTTGGATTTTGTTGTGGTATTTGCATATGATTTCGATTTCGTTGATTTTTCTTGAGACTATTCCGACCAAAAAATGTTATTTTCTGAAGAAAAAAATGACACACCACATGAGAATTCCTACATGGCGTTCAATGACAAATTCCCTTTTAGAAACTTCTTCAATGAGAATATGTAAATAGGAGTTATGATCATCTTCTAATGACAAGTGAACTTTAGTCTTTTAAACTAAATCCATCTTCTCATCCTTTAAAATGTCTCCTAGATCTTTCAATGATTTATTCTACTATCAATTTATGTTCATGAAGCAATGCCCCTGTCTATACAAACATCAATTTATGTTCTAATCAACTTTACATTTATTTGCTCACCAAGATTTGGGAGAACCTTTAAACGCTCTTGGTATGTTCTTGAAAGCATTCATGCTATTACACATATATATTAATCTAATAGGTTGTTTATACAAAATTATTGCCAAATTGATGGCTTCTCGTCTTAAATTGGTCTGTAATTGACGAGGTACAATCTGCTTACATCAAAGGCAGATATATTCTTGATGGGCCACTAATAATTAATGAAGTATGTTCTTAGGCCAAGCAATCAAAAGAAAAAGTCTTTTTGTTTAAGGTTGACTTCGAAAAAGCTTTTGATTCTGTCAATTGGTGCTTTCTTGATTCCATAATGGAGCAGGTGGCCGTCAGCGACAATTGGAGGAAATGGATTCACGGATGTTTATTGTCTTCTAAGGCATCAATTCTGGTCAATGGAACACCCACGGAAGAATTCTCGATTACGAAAGGCGTAAGGCAAGGTGATCCACTGTCATCGTTTCTATTTATTATAGCCATGAAGGGTCTAAGCACAACTGTTAAAAGTGCCTGTCAACAATCCCTGTTTAGAGGAATTCAACTACCTTACAATGGGCCAAGCATCACACATTTGTTATACGCGGACGATGCCATTTTCGTGGGTAAATGAGACAAAGGCTGTATAAAAAACTTAGCTCGTATTCTGAAATGCTTTCATATTTGTTCGGGATTGAAAGTTAATTTTCACAAATCAAGATTGTTTGCAATTGGTGTGAATGAAAATGAATTGGAAGAGCAAGCTAAGGTTCTCGGTTGCTTGAAAGGATCATTCCCATTCATATATTTGGGTGTTACGGTAGGGGCAAATATGTCCCTAAAAAAGAATTGGAGACCAATAATATAAAATTTTCAATGTAGACTATTAGTATGGAAAGCCAAAACACTGTCATTTGCAGGGCGCCTCACACTTGTGAAGTCAGTTCTGAATAGTCTCCCTACATACTACTTCTCTCTATTCAAGGCACCTCAAGGTGTGATTGAGGATCTTGAGAAACTACGGCGAAAGTTTTTGTGGGGGGTAATGACTCGAAGAAAAAATTCATTGGGTGTCATGGTCTAAGATAATTATGGATAAAAAAAGGAGGATTGGGCGTTGGATCCTTAATGGCACAAAACTTGGCGCTTCTCACTAAATGGTTTTGGAGGCTCAAAACCGAGTCTGGAAGTATATGGAAGGAGTGTATTATGGGCATCCACAATCTGTCAAGAAAACCATTCGATTACATAGCAAAACAATCGATTAGAGGTGTGTGGAACAATATTGCTAAAGCAATTAAGAATATTAAAGAAGTCAACACCGAATGTCATTCATTATTCTCTCCAATTCTAGGCTCAAACACGGAAATTCTGTTCTGGATTGATCTTTGGTGTGGCTCGGACATCTTTAGAAACAAATTCCCACTTTTGTATGAGTTGGAATCTGTTAAAAGATGTTATGTTACCGAAAGGGTTACCAACGAAAGCTTCACATGGAAATGGAAATCCTTACCCCGTGGTAATGATGTGATATCAATCGAGTTATGTTCGATACTCAACAACATTAGACTCTCTCCGGTCCCCATGGGTTTCAAGTTTAATTTTAATTCGGATGGTATATATACTGTTAACAAGATGAGAAGGTGTATTGATTCTACTGGAACACCTTACAATGGCTTGGTATTAGAATGGTAAAAAATTATTCCACTTAAAGTGAGATGCTTTATATGGCGCGCTTTACAAAGAAAAGTACCTGTTGCAATGGAACTTATAAGAAGAGGTGTTACTGCACTTTCCGACTTATGTGTTCTATGTGGTGATGAGCAGGAAACGGTTGATCACCTGTTCATAAAGTGCAAAGTGGTGGATGAGACTTGCGACTGGATTTTCAAATGGTGTGAATTACCAAAGCAACAATTTCTCAACATGGAAGAATTTCTCAATTTTGGTGCTTCATGGGGTAATTGCCCTAAAAAAGGCAAACTGTCACAATAATCTTCTATAGTTTGTTATGGCAGGTATGGAATGCGAGGAATGCCAAGACGTTTAATAAGGTGAACAATAATCATGCGAAAATTGCAGACGAGATTATTTCTCAATCCTTTTCGTGGTTTAAACATAGGAGTTCGAACTTTTGTGGTAGTTGGGTGGATTGGAGCATTTCTCCTTTTATATTCTGTTAAAATTTTGCATTGTAATTGTATGTGTACCTTGTCCATGTTTCTTAGCTTCTTGCTAAACATGTGATTTTATTTGGACTAATATTATAAAAGCCCTATATTTTTAACGCATAATTGGAAAAAACCCTAATATTTTTTTTAATATTGCTATGGCCACAACTTTCTCGCAGAATTATCACTCTAGCCCACTTAACGAGTTACATGGTTAACTTGGTTAACTTTTTTGCAAAATCAGTCCTAAAAAGTTCAAATTTGGTCCCTGAGGTTTGCAAAAAAT